ATCAGCAATAACATTTCACTTTTTTCTTTCGACCGCATGGATAATCGGCCCGCGGGTGGACAGTATAATCGATAGTTCATTTAGGACACGGTACTCTTTGGGTCTTTCGGTAAAAAATGGGGCCGTCCATAAATGATGTCACGCGATTTTGGACGATTTTTGACCCCCCCCCCCCCCTAGTCACACTGCGTCACAAAAAGTCAAACCCCGCCCCCTCAAATATGACGTCACAAAGCTCTGCCCCCCCCCCCCAAACCATATTTCCATTTTGAAAATAAAACATGCTTCAAATCGCTTCGGACTATTGTCATTGTAGTGCGTATTTAATGTGGCGCTGCACTCTGATGTTGTAGGAGAAAACATTTATTAAAAAGTCTATTACTGGTAGGGAACGTAGTGGACTGGAAGCCCAACCGGGATTAATTCACAGGAGGCAGGGGATTAATTGTGTATGTCTGTGGATGTCTGTCCACGTGGGAGGGGTGGGGCTGGGTGGAGAGGGGAGGGTAGGGAGGGGCTGGGTGGGGAGGGGCTGGGTGGAGAGGGTGGGGAGGGGCTGGGTGGGGAGGGTGGGGCTGGGTGGGGGGTGGGAGGGGTGGGGCTGGGTGGGGAGGGGCTAGTCACCCCGTGGTGCCCTTATAAAACTCAACGTTTAACCTACTTGTGCCCGCCCTCACAGTCAGGCATATTTGCGGAATACACCACGTGGTGCCGCCGTTGACCCTGGCCATTGACCGAGCAACCCAACGTTCCTACCAGCTCCCTCCGCAGGAATGTGTTAATAAAGTAGAACATGTTGTCTATATTTATTTAAAGTTGCGCATTTTGATGTGACGTCACTTCTCAACCCCCCCCCTCCCCTCGTCACACATGTCTGACTGCCCCCCCCCAGGTGCGTGACGTCATTTATGGACGGCACCAAAGTCGCGTAGGTAGAAACATAATAAAAAATCATGACGTTTCGATCGCAACACAAGCAATCGTATTCAGGTGAAAAAATACAGCAGGCGGACTGCTGAGGCAGGAGAAATATAGCGAGAGAGCTCCTGTAGCAAAATTTTATCGAGGTTTGAGATGGGTACAACCCAGGGTAAGTGGGCGGGGCTGGAGATGGAATTTAAAAGGAATATACCTCGGCCATTGTATTGCTAGAGATTAGGATGTCAATTTGTTAATGTAACCCCACTACTACGGTACTAAAGAAGCCATTGTATTGCTAGAGATTAGCATATCAATCTGTTAATGTAACCCCACGACTACGGTACTAAAGAAGCCATTGCATTGCTAGAGATTAGCATGTCAATCTGTTAATGTAACCCCACGACTACGGTACTAAAGAGGCCATTGTATTGCTAGAGATTAGCATGTCAATCTGTTAATGTAACCCCACGACTACGGTACTAAAGAGGCCATTGTATTGCTAGAGATTAGCATGTCAATGTGAGGTGGCTCCCGCAGCAGCGGCTGTGTTAATGAAGACGATTGCTTGTGTTGCGGTCGAAACGTCGTGATTTTTTATTATCATTTGATTTTTCTATCCACGTGACTAGAGGCCAACCGAAACTGAATTTCTGGTTTCGGCCGAAACCAAAACCAGACCGAAAGTAAAAAATTGACTTTTGGCCGAAACCGAAGCCGAAAGTTTAACTTCATTTTCGACCAAGACCGAAACAGAAAGTTACATAACCGAAGTTACCGAACACAAGATTTATGAAAGACTAGCTTTACTACCCGGCTTCGCCCGGGACTTGGATTCACCACGGACGGCCGCCTTTGTCTCCCCAGTAGCGATGTTGACATACCACACCACTTACTCGTTTGAGGCTGAGTCGACCTAGGGGAGGCCCAGGACTAGTTCAAATAATCGTCACCGGCCGTGAGCGGGAATTGAACTCGGGCCGCCGGGTTCGTAGCGCAGGGCGCGAATCACTACGCAGTCCCTGCCCCCCCCCCCCGAGGTGCATGACGTCATTTATTGATGGCCCCAGACCAGGGGTCACCAAACTTTTTTCACAGTGGGCCGGATAACTGAAAGAATGACGAGCGCGGGCCGCATAATAAATAAAAATTTCTGGAGCGTCGGACCTGTGTTGATAGCTGGAAAATCTTGGGGCCGGAAAGATGCGTGTTTGTGTAAGTTGCCATGGAAACCATGGCAACGTGTTGCCATGGAAACCATGGTAACGTCAGAGCGTAGGCGGAGCTACTACGAGCCGGGGAAGGACTTGGGATGGCGTGAAATAAGCAAACATTACAATAAACAAGAAAATCTAGATACAATAATTTAACATTTAAAATAGTAAATTTAAGGCACATAGCAGTCAGGAGGTCTCCGCATGCGTGAAGATCTCCTAGTATTCTAAACATAATATTTAAATTGTATCACAACGCCTCGTGTTCCATACGTTTTATCAACCAAATTCAAGTACCGTCGGCGGGCCTGATGGACTGACGTCGCGGGTCGGATCCGGCCCGCGGGCCGTAGTTTGGTGACCCCTGCCCCAGACCATGGTTGCGGCTGTAACCTCGCTCGCAAGCTGCTGCTGCTGACGTGTGTGTACGTGTGTGTGTGTACGTGTGTGTGTATGTGTGTACGTGTGTGTGTGTATGTGTGTGTGTGTGTATGTGTGTACGTGTGTGTATGTCTATACGTGTGTGTGTATGCAGCCTATCGCATAGGATTGCCTAGCGCCGACTTGACTGGCTGATAGACTTAGCACGAGCATTATATTCTAAAAATAGATCTTCGGTTGACGACCGAAAGTCAATATCAGTTTCGGCCGAAACCAGGCCAGAGGCGGGGTTTAGTCGCCGGGGAGCGCATATAAGCGGGGGCCGGAGCAAGGTGCGGGGTCGGTGTTGAAGAATCAAGAGGAGCTCCCTGTCGCTGCTGCCCCGCCATCTCCATCGGCCACGTGGCTGCTCGACCTCCAGCCGCTCAACTGCTCCCAAGCCAGCGCCGTCAGTCGGCGGCGCGTTAGCGAGCGGGGTGAGCGCCACGTGGCGCGGGAGGCAGCGAAGCCGCCTGGGCGGCGATCATTCCGTAGTGAGAGAGAGAGAGACAAGAGACAACCAAGCTGTACCGAAGGAGCCACTTATTACACATTGAAGGAGATACTCAACGATACAGCAGAGGGCGCTACTGAATGCAGCCCGTGTCTTGAACCGTCATTAACCTGTCCAGATTTGAAGTTTTCGTGACTGCACGGATCCATACTCTTTGGTTCTTTCGGTAAAGTCACGTAGGTAGAAAATAAAAAATAAATTAGATCACGACGTTTCGATCGCAACACAACCGACCGTCATCAGGTGGAACAGATACAGCAGGAGAACTGCTGACATAGGAGAGAGAGCTGCTGCAACAAGAGTTTATATTGTATTTTGGTGGGCTCAACCCAAGGGTAAGTGTGTGGAGGTAGAGAAGGAATTTGTACGTTAATGTAAATGTGAGAGATTAGCATGTCAATGTGGGAAGGTCCCCAGCCACCGGAGGTGGAGGGGATCCTGTGCCTGGGATATTTCGCCTGGTAATGTACTCGGAGAGTCGGAAATAACAGCTGAAACAGGCAGGTAGGATGGAAACATCACAGTCAGTTAAGATTTTACTTGGTTAATAACATCCTTCCAATGATTGCTCAGTTTATATCCATCTTCCCGGTTGAAGTTATGTCTATACGTAGGCTTTAACACGCAGGCTGTTCGCGACCAATATTATTCATCTTGATTTGAAGCTTTCGTGACTGCAGGAATTCATACCCTTTGGTTCTTTCGGTAAAGTCATGTAGATAGAAAAATAACGAATAGATCACGACGCTTCGATCGCAACACAAGCAATCGTCTTCAGGTGAAACAATACAGCAGGCGGACTGCTGAGGCAGGAGGAAATGTAGCGAGAGAGCTACTGCAACCAAAGGTGATATCCGTTTGTGGTGGGTACAACCCAAGGGCAAGTGGGCGGGGCTAGGGATGGAATTGCAAGTAAATGTAAGATCGCAGAGCGAGCATACCTCGGCTAATCCGAGGGGGGAGGGAGGGGAGGGGGAGGGGCTGCCGTAACGGGCTTAAGGAGATCAACCGTACTCTTTGATTCAATTGGGTAAAGTCACGTAGGTAAAAAATCAAATAACAAAAATCACGACGTTTCGGCCACAACACAAGCGGCCTTCATCAGGTGAAGGGACGAGACTGCCTGGAGGACAGCGCTGGAGTGAAAAAAGCCACATTCAGATCACGACCTTTAAGCTGTGTGAGAAGAAACAAAGCGCCTTGACAAAGGAATTAGCATATAATTTAGCATTGAAATGGCTCATTGAAATAGCTAAGTTAAAGTATACACATGCGCAGAGGCACCCCTTGACAAAGGAATTAGCATAGAATTTAGCATTGAAATAGCTGAGTGATTAGCTTGTAACTGGTCACAGAAATAGCTATGTTAAAGTCAGAGCATATACATTCACCGAGGCACTTAGTACAAATCAAACAGGAGAATTTAGCGAAACACAACCACGCTCAGACCGCGGACCTTTAAACTGTGTACGAGCAAACAAGGTGTCCTGACAAAGAAATTAGCATAAAAATTAGCATTTGATTGGCCGATTTTAGAAAAGAGGTGGTGTACGTGCCGGTGGACTTGCCGTTTTGGCGCGGGGGGGGGGGGGGGGGGGGGGGGGGGGAGTTTACCTATTGATGGTGTGAAAAGGGAATTTATAAGAGCTGCGAAAGTTTGGGGTACCACTACTTGAAAAATATACTGTACCATTGAAATTAGTTTAATGTTTAGTTCGATTTAGAACATCTTTCCAATGGTTGCTTAATTTGAAACCATCTGCTCGGTTGAAATTGTGTCTGTGTTTGTAGATCTGAATTGCCTCGTGAACAAATCTCTGATAAAAACCTGAAGGCCGCTTGTGTTGTGGCCGAAACGTCGTGATTTTTGTTATTTTATTTTTTACCTACGTGACTTTACCCAATTGAACCAAAGAGTATGGATCCTAGCAGTCACGAAAGCTTTAAATCTAGAGATCAACCGTGTTTATTTGCAACACAAAAATCAGTTATGTTCTACTCAAACGAACATTGAGGGATTGGTGTTCATATCCCGTTTATAGCTCTGAAGTTACTGGCAGAAATTCTACATTCCTATGGCTGGGCGAGTATATCCATAGGACAACCACATTTGACTTCCCAATAGTGGTATTCGTTTTATCCACCCACACAGGGATTTTGAGTGGATTGTGGATAATGCCCAATAAATTAGGGAACCATATTGGCAAACGTTGGCTAAATTAAGAAACCCTAAGCAGATCTAACAATAGTGGAAGAGGTATATATTTCAGATCGTTCGTTAATGGGCGAGGTGGGCTATAGGAAGTATTGAGTTCATTGAAACCGTGAAATGATGGAGGCGATGATTACTTGAGGACAGCAGATGAATGGAGCCATGATATGAGATGAATCTCAGTGAGGTTTTGAGACATCATGGATTTTTGAGGCCAAAAGACATGAGGCCATTAATTGAGGGCACAGGTTATTCGAGGTCATAAGATATTTTAGGTCATGAATCGAAGAAAAAAATCTTTGAGGCTGTGAAATATTTGAGACCATTAAACGAGTATGGCAATGGGTTATTTGAAGCCATGATATATTTTAGGTTGTGAATTTAATGAAAACCTGGATATTTGAAACCATTACATATTTTATGTCGTGAATTCATTTCAGACAATAGTCATTTGAGGCCATTCTGATTCTGATTTAAGGCCATTAACTCTATGAGGTCATTACCTGAGTAAAACCATATGCTATTTTAGGCCATGAGATATTTGAGTTTGTGTTTGAATGAAACGATGGGTTATTTGCAGTCATAAAATATTGTAGGTAGGGGATTTAATTCGAGCGATGGGTAATTTGAGGTCATTAAATATTTGAGGGCATTGTCAGAGCAAGGCCATGGGTTATTTGAGGTCATGAAATATTTCACGCTGTTAATTCAAGTAATGAGTAAATTAGGGTCATTAAATATTTAGATCCGTTAGCTCCGTGCGGCTTTGGGTTATTTGAAGCCATGAGATATTTTAGGTAATTCATTAATTCGAGCAGTGTTATTTGAAGGCATTAAATGTTTTAGGCTATTACTTGAGTGAGACCATGGGTTATTTGAGGCCATGAGATATTTGAGTTTGTGGGCTGAGTGAGGTCATGGGTTAATTGACTGTCTTCGGTTTAAGCGTGTCGCATTTATACGCTTAGCCCCTTCCCGCCACCCACAGTCATCACCTGGCAGCGCTATCGTGACAGCGTGTGAAGGTGGGTATATTTATTATTCATCACGGATGTGGTGTTAGACCGTGAGCTGTCAGCTGGGCGAGTGGTCTCGCTACACATCGAGCGGGGCACGCGCCGGGCACCTGCACCTCCAGCGAGTGCTCCCTGCATCGGCTCCCACAAGGCAGCAGGTAACGGCACCTACTCACCTCCAGCACTCAATACAACTCACACACACCAGCAGAATTGAGTGTATGTACAATCCTGTTGTATGAGCTTGCTTAAACGGGGGGCTCTCTAAAGACAGGGGGGGGGGGCACGACAGAGTCAATGTTAAACAGGTTTAAACAAATCCAAAACGTGAATCAGAACGAGTAACGATTTGATCTACGTTTACATTTTGTTTACATTTTGTCCTGCCCCTTAAAATTATTGCAGAGCTGCTGCAAACACTTACAGAATGAGCCCGCGTTTGTCGATTCACTGAAGCAGACATGCATGGGCACATTTAATGTATGGTTATGGGTGCTCGCCTACCTGGAAAACTTTGAGGATAAACTGCCACTGGCATTGGAATATTGTACCAACGATTTTTTGACTTGACTATAAGAAATTAAGGAGGTTGAGCCTTCAGCAAGGAGGCTTTGCCACGTACAGTTCCCACCCCCAGACATTATGGAGCTGTTTATCTAGATGATATTTAATGCAATATCTGTCAGGTGAAGTTTGAGAAATGAAAAAGCTCTATTTGTTCCAGATAAAAGTAGACAATACATGTGCCGTATTGTGATGATTCAAACGTGAGATTTAGGGTGCCCTGTACAGGCTTATACACGATATGAAGATTTCTATATGGAACTACTGCTGGTTGTCACATCTGTCAAGTTTACACACGTTCACTCTCGTGGCCAGATTCACAAATAGCTGAAACAGCCAAAAACACACGGCCTTGGCAGTCTTTCCGCATTCGTTGGTAATGAAGATGTTGGCACGAATAAGCAATAAAAAGCATGAGAAAAAGAATATTGGACGTGTTAAACCAGGCCCGCAGAGTGCAGTATGTTTAGAATAACGCGTAGGTGTGTGGAATGTTTGCACAAACTCAGTGGCCGAGACTCACAGCGAGCGAATTGGGGAATCCGGTCGGCCACTCGAAAGTGGTGACCGTGGCTGCACGAGGACCCAGAAAGGCCACACACACACCACACACCCACACCACACACACACCACACACACACACCACACACACACACCACACACACACCACACACACACCACACACACACACCACACACCCACACCACACACACACCACACACACACACCACACACCCACACCACACACACACCACACACACACACAACACACACATCCACACCACACACACACCACACACACACACCACACACACACCACACACCCACACCACACACACACACCACACACACACACCATACACCCACACCACACACACACCACACACACACAACACACACACCACACACCCACACCACACACACACCACACACACCACACACCCACTCCACACACACACACCACACACACACCCACACCACACACACCACACACACACACACCACACACCCACACCACACACACACCACACACACACCCCACACACACACCACACATACACACACACCCACACCACACACACACACCACACACCCACACCACACACACACCACACACCCACACCACACACACACCACACACCCACACCACACACCCACACCACACACACACACCCACACCACACACACCACACACCCACACCACACACACCACACACACACACCACACACCCACACCACACACACACCACACACCACACACACACCACACACCCACACCACACACACACACCACACACACACACCACACACCCACACCACACACACACACCACACACACACACCACACACCGACACCACACACACCACACACACACACCACACACCCACACACCACACACACCACACACCCACACCACACACACACACACCACACACCCACACCACACACACACACCACACACACACACCACACACCGACACCACACACACCACACACACACCACACACCACACACACCACACACCCACACCACACACACACACACCATACACCCACACCACACACACACACCACACACACACCACACACCCACACCACACACACCACACACCCACACCACACACACACCAGGCAGAGCTGTGCCTGGCCCTTTCCCATTTAAATAATCTCCAAATGTAATTAATTAGGGCTAATCAGAGAGCCTGGCTGTGCATGACTGGCCACCGAGGCCACTCGTTTTTGTTGCGCTGTAAAAGGAAACACGTTATCCGATTTTTATTTTAATGTTTTTAATTTATTTGTGACCAATGGGCGATTTAAACTAGATATATGAAGATAGTGTTTATATTGGACAGCTGCCGAACTTATGTGCAACTATTTTGATCACCCGCCCACTAGGATGTGATTATAATTATTGCTCATGAATTATTTTTACTTTTACGATATCCACCCCCAATGGCTTAATTTTACACGTAAACTTTCACTTTCAATACTATGATTCATAATTAGTGTTTAGTGGGTTAGAGCGTTATGTAGGGTATGATTTCAAATTTTAACTATAACCCGCCACCACCCGACAGAGCCAATCAAATCAAGCTGTCACATAATGGGAAAATATGCCAATAGATTTGGGTTTATTAGCAAAACTCTGGCTCTGGCGTGGGAGCTGAGCTTTTGTTGTCACCCAATGATCCTGGATGTGATCTCCAGCGAAACGTCGTATAAAATTGTAAAAAAATATTGCTTTTCCACATTGCGGTTTTGCTAATAAACTAATTACAGATCCCACCCTTAATTAGAAATCTAGTGATGCTCCCCCAACCCCCACCCTTGGTTAGAAATCGAACCTGGTATACTATACCCTTTCCCGTTGCGATGACGTATGTCATCAGTTTTTCGTAAAAAAAATAAAACAACTTTATCAGGACCGAGGCTGCCACAAGGCCATGGGCGGAGGGCGTGTGGCACAGTTTGGCTCCAGCTATCATATAGTGCGGTCGTGTCGCTACAGTTCTCTGCGGTGAGTACAATGTCTTTAAAAACAACGGTGCTATGCCTCGCTAAAAACGATTAAAGCCGAAACACTTGCGCGTTCTGAGATTCAGCGGTGAACGGGGTAACCCACCCTATGACTTGCAGACGTCTCGGAGCAGGGAAGGGCAACGTGCCCCTGTTTGGGGAGAAAGAACTACCCAGAGGGCGCGTTCCCTGGACACGCAAAGCCTCACTCGTACGACGGTCATGTGCCCTCCTCTGTCATGACTGTTGATTCAGGTTCAATATATAAATATATATTTGTTAATCTCGCGATGACTTTGTGAAAGACAGTTAAGCATGAATGTAATATAAATATTAATTTAAGAAGCTCACCATGAACAGTAAATAAATGATCAAAAATAGACAACATGTTTAAGCCATGTGAGTGCTATTTCACTGTGATTAAGATTTTACTGCGATTTACTGCGATTTATTAAACTTACGTAATTTGTCGAAGGTCAGAGATTGCTTTCAAAGCATTGAACATTTAAAGGGGAATACTTGTATCCTGGCACCTGAAGCAACTAGTTAGTATCATATTTATATTTAATTATTATGATGAGATGATAATGGATAGATGATCATGCTTGATGATTATTACTGAAATTGCTGGATAATGGATGGATGATTGCTCGATAAAGGATGAATGCTGGGTAATGGCTGGATGACAGTCAATTGCTGAATCATGAGTGGATAATGGATGGATCATGGGTGATTGACAATGGATGGATGATACATACTTCTGGAAAATGAATAGATTGTGATGATGACGATCTGTAAACGATCTCGTGACGGTGGCTTGCACTCACACATCAGTCTTGTTCACACGCATATTTGTTGCTTTTATCATCCGCAACAGCGAGCTCTCCGCCACCGACACAGCTCACCCCTGGCGACAAACACGCGCACACCCATCGGCCCGGTCGCCGCACGGCGAGACTAATCCCAGGGGTGGGGCGAGGGGGGGGGGCTGCAGCAACATGGAGGAGTGCGGCGGCATCCGCACGGACGGCAGCACCCTGCTCAGGGCCGTGCTGCTCGGCCGCTTGCGCCTGACGCGCCTTCTACTCGAGGGTGGCGCCTACATCAACGAGAGCAACGAGCGCGGCGAGACGCCGCTCATGGTGGCCTGCGTGAGCCGACACGTCGACGCGCAGAGCGCCGCCAAGGCCAAGATGGTGGCCTACCTGCTGGAGAACGGCGCCGACCCCAACATCCAGGACAAGTGCGGGCGCAGCGCGCTCATGCACGCGTGCATCGCCGGCGCCGGCGCCGAGCTGGCGCAGCTGCTGCTCACGGGCGGCGCCGACCCCAGCCTCGAGGACCGCTCGGGAGCCTCGGCCCTCGTCTACGCCATCAACACGGACGACAAGGACACCCTCAAGGTGCTGCTGGACGCCTGCAAGGCCAAGGGCAAGGACGTGATCATCATCACCACCGACAAGTCGGCCTCGGGCGGCAAGACCACGAAGCAGTACCTCAACGTGCCGCCTTCGCCCGCCGACTTTGACGATCGGTTCGCCCCGGTGATGTCCCCTTCCGACATCGAGCTGCGGCCCACGTTCTCCAACTCCCTGGCCACCGCAACGGAGGACGAGTCCTTGATGAGCCTCCCGGCAGCCGGCGTCTGCGGCAGGAAGGGTACACCGAAGCACTGCGGAACGCCCAAGCTGCTGCCGCAGCTACAGAAGACGGTGGCTCACAGCGAGGAAGCAAAGAAGGCGATTGTGTCTCTCGACGAGGAACTCTCCTCCAGCTTTAGCTCTTTGCTCACGAGCAGGTCGAGCGTGCTCGCCAGACACTTCAGCATGGACGTGGCGGACGACACCTTTCTGGGCACATACACGACCGAGAGGCGGCCGCCTTCCAGCAGAGCGGCTACGCCCATGTGTCACAGGTCGCCGCACATGGCGAGAAGGAACACCCTTCCCGTGGAAGAACTCACAGAGACCCTGACGCTTCCACCCGTGTGCAGCCTGCAAGAAATCCTGCGGCAGAGACAGCTGGGCATTAACCACTACCATTCCGACACGCAGTTGCAGGCGGAGCCGACGGCAGTACATACCTTGGCGGGGAGGTTCGCGATGGAGCAAAGGAAACGGCACATGTCAAGCTCGCGTGATTCGCTCGATGGCTGGTGGCCACCGATGGCTCCAGCGAGCGGCGAGAGGCGGGGGTCTGGTGGAGTTGGGTTCCCGGCGGAACAGATGTCTCTGGTCGCTGCGAGCACCGAGCGCAGAGGGTCCGGTGGTGCCAACGTCCTCATGGAGCAACTGTCGCACAGTCGGATAAGTATCCTGCCTCCGATACCCATCAGCGTGACTCCAACTGCCAGTGGGAGCGCCTCCGAGGCAACCCCGGGATTTTGCAAACAACTGCAGATTTCGGTCAAACCTGGGGTGCCCCCGCTGCCCTGCTCGCCGAGCCACCGAGAGGTGAAGGGCACGAAAAAATTCCCAAGGCGCCACTCCATGCAGGTGGAGCAGATGAAGCTGCTGCTCACGCACGGAGATGGATCTGGTGACTAGGCAACTCCCGATTTGAATCCGGGAACAAAACGTGACCACCCCTGCAATATCCTTTTGTAACCTTAAAACACATCTTCGCATCCGAAATGTTAAATGCGTGGCTATTGAGAAAGGGGAAGGGGTGCGGTGCTGTGCTGGGAATGTGTGGGACTGTGCAATGCGCTATCCTAGTGTATTATTGGAAGAGATGCGAGAGTGTAGAAGGAACTTTGTTTTTGTACGAGGCACTTTGTTGACCGAGGGCACAGGTTTACAAATCACCCATGAAATGATAATTGGGTCGAAAAGTTAACCTGAAAGCTGGGTCTGGGCAGAGCTGTTGGAATCTTTTAAAATTAATAACACAAGTAGGTTATTTATAAATCTTGTTAAAAATTATATCGGAATCATGTTAACAGTCTTTGGTCTTGGATATCTAAGTATATGGATTGTGTTTAACAATTACAGTACTGTTTTGTTTAGTGTTTAAAGTATATTTTACACAGCAGACCAATAAAGCATCTTAACTCAGTAATAGAAGTGTCAAAACTTTACTTTCACTCTGAGAGTACAGTACACCGGTTATCTGTTGACATGGTACATTTTAACGCAATTGTTCAAAATACCGCAAAATTATACCACCACAGTACTTCAATTGACCACACTGCACCTTATTGCTCAGCTCTACAGTGCAACAGATATTTTGGCTTACACTCGAGATGAACCTCAACCCAATAGGCCCAGATGTCTTTCTTCAAGATGCTTTCGATGTCTGAGCACTAGAGGGCATCTAACACTGGGCTTGTGGCAAGGTGCACGTGAGCATGGGTTTGGGTTGGAGGCAACAATGTATGCTGTTGTGGTTAAGATGCTTATGTATGCTACATAAGCAGCATCCAGTAACTGCACAGTACCAAGAGTTATTTAATATAAATAGCCAAAAAAACTCTTCAGTAATCTGAACATCGTATAAACGACTTTCGCAAATAATTGTCCCTTTTGTGGAAATTCAAGCTGGGTGCTAACTCGCCCAGCTGAATAGTGTAGCAAATGGTCGCTCACAAGAAGCCATCTGATGTGTTAACGTGAACATATTTAATATTTAAACATGACCCACTTGCTCCAACCAACTAGCGTTTTATATATGGTGAGCGTGTTATTATTTTTCGGAGATGGTGGACGAAGATCCAGGGGTTTTTTTTTCATGAGATATTATATTTTTATTGAAAAAATAACCCTTTGTTTAAATCAATAAAATGTATTCTTTCATTCATCAACTTGGGCCCTGGTGAATGTGTTCTGCATTTCACGGCCGATTGACAGGAGGAGTGTAACGCCCATTGACAACACCTTTATTACCAGTTTCACCAAATTCACCAGGAAATTCACCTCGGCCACTCACTGTAGCCATGGCCATGATAATGCCATCAAACATCAAAGATGACTGCAAAGTACAATGAGCTCTCTCAGTAGCAAGGAGCAGTAGAGTGACCTTTGCTGTGATCAAAACCCAAACATATGAAACAGAATAAAGTATTTTTTAAGGTCGTGTTAGGGCTGTTGACATTTGATAAAAAGGTCACAATGCTTTGCAGAAAGATGAGTCAGATTTTCGCCAATATAGCCAAACCTTTGATGAATGTCAACATTGCAAATGCGAAATGTAAAAACTGTTGTCTAAAATGTGAATTTCATTACATAAGCGACGTTCATAATTTGGAATCATACCGGGAAAATTAACAAGTGGAAATCTGTCCACGAATAAAATCCAAATAAAAGCTTCCTATCAAAATATCACAGAGAAAACACAACACTGACCAAATTAAAATACATCAATATTAAACCGCTAAATTCCACACTCACAAAACTATGTCAAATAGAACACACCAAAAAATACAAGCATTTAATATCACAACCCTGGCAACACAATCAAAACATGCTGGTAATATACTGCAAACGAAAGTTTTGTCCACCAATATCTTTAGCCAATGCAACTTTAGGCTGCGTGGAGCTTATTTAACTGACGCATCTGGCTGGGAACTCAAGGGAATCCCTGTGCATGTTTAAAATGCAAACATAAATATTTGTTTAAGTTAACCTCTAAATAATAACTTATTGACTTCTCACGGCCAAAAAATTTAAACAGTGGGTCAACGTTCCAAGAAGTAAGATGAACAGCAAATAGTGCAAACAGAGTGACATTTATAGCCATCCTTCACACAAATTAGTAGTGAATGCAACAGCTGTGCCGTGACTACAACACACACGTTTTTACATTCCACAGCAGCCACTGTCTATCCCATTCGGTTGGTGTTGACGTAAATGTGCCTCCAGAGCATATGGGAGGCACTGTGATGAATGTTACCATTAGCGCTTCTCTACACCACACACACACACTCGGTCCTTCTACTTTTTGACACCACTATAACCCATGTTACAATTTTCTGCAGACCTTTGACCAAAGCCAATGGCTTAGTTTCCAAAGCAGGCCGACAGCCAAACAAAAGCAGGCCTAAACAGCACTGCCAACAATTTTTTGAAAAATGCATGTTTTGGCCTCTCCGAGACAGACCTATTTAACAAAATTACCATTACATTTAACTTTTTTAATAAGCCATTTGGGCTACAAAATGGTGCGGGCTGGCTAGCGAGCGGTGCACTGCCCCGCGTCGGGGCTAGAGGCCGACCCGCGAGGAGCCCGTGTGCTTGTCCGCGAAGAAGCTCTTGAGGAGCATCACCTGCCCGACCACCACGGACAGCAGCATGAGCGTCTCGCCCACCGACCACAGCGTGACACGCGAGTTGAGGTGCTCCGCCTGGTAGCGATCCTGCGCCTCCTCCAGCCGGTGGTGCGTCTGGTAGCTTATGACCGACTTGAGAGCCTCGTGGATCGTCACGCAGGCCGACTCCATCTGTAGCGTGGGGGGCAGGTGGGGTGGCAGGGAAGTGAGAAAAACACGTGCACGCACAAACATACGTATGGGACCATCATCAGGCGCGACCTATCCACTACTGGTGAAAGCCTCCTCAAGTCATCGCCATCTCTCATGGCCTCCCGATGCAACAATCCATCGAGCATATGCAAAACGGATGATTTTATTGCTCCATTTCAGCAATGGACATGCTGTTAGATGCATTTCCTCTTTTGGCTGCCACTGTTATGAGTCTCAACGACTGGTCATCATCTTTTCAAGTGACATGCCCTAGCTCACATATCTTAACATTAAACAATATGCCTCGAATTTGCATTTGTTCTCCACTCCATATGTTCTTCTTTCTGTCTCTGAGTGTAATTCGATTCATGAAGCGTGCTGGTTACACGAGAGAACAAATAATTTTCATAATTAATGTTCCCTTCGGGAAAATGTTGATTTTTCCATTGTCAATAATATTAATCTATAATAACCCGGCATTCGCACACGCCTCATGTTAATCATCATAAAATCGCCTACAACGTTGGTGTGATGTGTCTAACAGCGCTTTAAACATTTAGAGACACATACTAAAAAGTTGGAAAAAATAATGAGCACTCAACAACACCATAAGTGTGGCATGAGCACCAGATAGCCACATACAGTTGGTTAATGTTAGAAATGTGACGATATCTCGATTTGAAGCTTTCGTGACTGCAGGAATCCATACTCTTTGGTTCTTTCGGTAAAGTCACGTAGTTAGAAATAAATTAAAATAAAACAAAGAAAGAACCAAAGAGTATGTGACAATATATTCAATTTATTATGCACAAGATTTTGCAGCCCCCTTTGTCAATCCACCGTGTTCGTCACAGAAGTTTATTTTTTTTACAAAAGTTTACCGTGCAGGAGTTGGTGAAGGGGTAAGACTGCCCATAAGACGTTTTTGTGTTAGATTGCGTAGATATAAATGCATCGTTAAACCCGCCAACACCTGACACAGCCAATTAGTAAGGTTTGTCACGTTAACAAAACATGCCAATTCGTTATTAGTTTAGCACACCCGTGTTTTGAGAGGAAACCCACATTTACAATTCGAGTACGTCTCGCTGGTAATTATAACCAGCATCATCAGGCGATGGCCAGAGTTGCGGGGAAATCCTTGTGGGGAAGACTAGTTCGGATATCACTCGTTAGCAGTGTTTGCCATGGCCAGAAATTAAACTTAAATCAACAGGTTCAGACCTAACAACAACAACTGCCATTTGTCACTAAGTGGCGGTAATGTCGCCATGGTGCATGTGCCAGGCTATGTGCACTTTGAGGCCACGTGAAGTGTTGAAAGCCCGCTGGAAGGTCGCAGTTTGTTGTTCTTCCCCCGCACCTCCGATTAGCATGGTTGGCTACGTACTGTGCAAAAGAAGTTCAACATACAAACATACATACATACAGGGGACAGACCCAGGTGCCATGGGTTGACTTAAATGACTGGCAGATGCACCACCTGTGCCCCCCCTACTATGCCAACTTGCTGTGTTTTAGCCGCCCGGAGCTCCGCTCGTTGTGAGTGTCGCTCCTCTGCCCTCCGCTGTTGTTGGAGGGCAACTGCCTCCAGCTACCCAGTAACGTTCTTCATGAACCTCGTAATAAAGGTTTTTTTTGGGTTAGATTGTGTAAACGTAAATATGTCGTTAACCAACCACCACCCGACACAGCCAATTAGTAAGGTTTGTCACATAAACAAAAAGTTTCAATTAATAACTACTTCAGCACACCGCTGTGTTGGAGAGTAAGCCCACAACATTTACAATTTGAGTATGATGTTTCGCTGGTGATTACAACCAACTTCATTAGGTGAGTTGCCAGAAATGTGAAGTCTTCCTGTTTAACACGTAGGCTTTCGCGACCAATATTATTCATAATAAAGGTTTTTGGGTTAGATCGCGTTATTTATAAATGTGTCGTAACCCTCCACCACCCGACACGGCCAATCAGCAAAAAAAGTGTCACGTTGACAAAAGACAAATAGTTCACTACTTTAGCCCACTGGTGTGTTGAAGAGTGAATCCACAACATTTACAGTTTGATTACCACGTTTCGCTGGTAATTACATCCAGCATCATCGGGCAATTCGCCAGAATGGTAAAGCCCTCACTTGCTCTCGGTCTTAAATAGAGCAGCAGGGTGACGTCATCATTTAACTCATTTCAGGTGCAGTGATTTGAGGCGGAGGGGAATATTGTAATTATATAATCGATTGGTAATCAGTCAATGGTTATGATTAGTAATGAGTTGTAGCTTAGTAATTAGTTGTAATGTGTGTTATTTTGATTATATGCTATGTTAGTAATCCGTTAATTAATATGTTTCCCCTATAAGGAATTGTAATATGTATTATTTAATAATACGCTTCCAAGCCGCACTAAGCCTGTAGCTATCAGAACGATTAAAGTTATTTCTGTTTCTCTCAATTTCAATGGATTCTCTAATTAGTCTTTGCCAGTAATAATTAGTTTTACACAACACTTCAACGTTATCAAAATCAATTGAGTGTCCTTGTTGACAAGCATGTTCTGCCACTGCCAACAGTTGTGTTTGAGATAATTTAACATTTCTTTGGTGTTCTTTTAGTCTTATGCTGATGTTACGTCCCATCTAACCCAAAAACCTTTATTATGAATATTGGTCACGAAAGCCTACGTGTTAAACTGACTAACCTCTATGGGGAGGATACTTTTCTTAAAACCAGAAAGTTGGAGAATCCCGCATTAAGCGGATGAAACTGTTATCTTCACTGGCGTTCCTCAAAAGGTGCAGAGATTCAAAGGTAATACCAAACGCAGTTAAAATAACACATCACATAAAGTCTTCTAAAGCTAACCAAATACTACACAAAGATAGCGAATTATTATTAATAGAGAGAATACAGCACAACAGGAGTGAATTATATTACATTTCGGAATCGCTAAAGCAGTTACACTTAGATATAAGCAATAGTGTGTCCATGCATTATTGGAATCTAATCGATACCATAACATAACAATGGCTGATAATGTGTTTAATCTAACAAAAACTAACCAAATGAATAAATTTTCTAGACTTCATAATAAATAAATCCCTACTTAAACGAACAATTTAAAAACAAAACCGTAATGAACTTGACTGACACTGTTTTAACTAGTGCCATGATCTCTGTCCTTTCTAAAGGCCTTAACTTTGCCGTTACCCCACGCACAATTCCGGTGGATGAGATCATTGCTGAGGTAGAGTCAGCAGCAAGACTCCTTCCACATAATGAGGCAGAGATGACTAGACACGAGGTTGCCAAAATAAATGAGATTAGCAAAGTTCCAAAAGTAAATATTAGCTCCAACGAAACAAAAGCCTTAAGAGAGCTCCGTGTAAATAAAGATCTCCAAATCCTGGCAGCTGATAAAGGCCGCACTACTGTAGTGATGTCACGAGCCGATTATGATAATAAAATTAGAAATTTACTAGAGGAAAGTACCTACATTAAAATTAAACGAGATCCAACTAACACTTTAGAACGTAAGACTACTGCAATAATTGTAAATTCATTAATCCCTAAGAATGAGCAACAAAAAAATTAAGCCAAAGATCTTTAAAATCGGCATCCCATTACGACCCATAGTCAGTACAATTGGCTCTGCCACTTATAAATTAGCAAAATATATAACTAAACAAATACAGCCCTACATTGGTTGGACATCTTAATTCATAAGAAATTCAGAACATCTTGTGAATGTGATTAAAGATATCAAACTTAATCCTAATGATATTCTGGTAAGTTTTGATGTGATTTCTCTATTCACTAAGGTTCCAGTGAACAAATCG